TTTTATGTTACAACAAATCTTTATTTTTGTACTCCTTATATGGGGCTCAAAGTAGTAGGAGTAGAAGTGGGTGTTTCTTGAGACAAATATGCTTCACATGTCGACCATTCTAGTCGTATTTTATTCTTAACATATTTTTTCAACTTGTTCAAATATTTGCTAGATGATTATAATTATCAGTTACCATTAAAAATATTTAAGACAACATATTAAAAATACATTTTACATCTTAAAAGGGTACATCAAATGATATTGCACAGGTCCATCAACTCTAGCTTCATAAGGTAAATGGATCGAAAGATGTTCCATATAATTAAAGAATTCTGAGCAAAATTTTTTTTTTCTAACTTGTATTGGATGATTAGTATGTTCTCATCGCTTCTCCGTAAAGCATCTTTGGTTAGTTTATGTGAACATAGGTCTTTGAAAAAAATGCTAAGTTCTGTCAATGAATTCGATATGTAATATTGTAACAAACATATTATGATCGAAAGAAGAACCTCAATAATTATGTGGCAATCATGAATTTTTAGTTCAAATAATCCCGTAAATTTAAGGTTTACACATCGGCTTAAATTTGATCCATATACATCAGTCATTTTTAAATATTGAAACTATTGATATATTGATCCTTTTTGCTCTAACAAGAAAGAGTAAGGTGCTTTGGACTTCATTAATTTTCCATCGCTGGTTATTAATAACTAAAGATTTAATTGCTAGCAGTAATCTCTTATGTTCATTCTAGCTTCGGCATTATCTTTGCTCTTGCCTTTAACATCGATAATTTTATTAAAAATATTGTCCATAAGTTATTCTTAATATGCATAACATCCATATTATGCCTTATAAAATTTGTTCTATAATATGATAATGTCCAGCAAATATTTTTTTTAATCTAATTATGTTGAACACTATATCCAAAAAATTTATACTCCGATAATATTGAAAAATCAATAATTGATGAAAAGCCAAAAATTTTTTGTTGTACGACATCACCACTTAATTTAGATGGAGGAGGTGACCTCTTAACTTTATTTTTAACAAATGTTTTTTTTTTATTTCTTCTAAAAAAATGATCAACAGGTAGGAACATACAATGACAATCAAATCAAGTCTTTTTTTTCTCTATATTTTAGTATGAAAGATTTAGTATTCTTCATGTAATAAGGACAAGTTAATTTTTTGCTCTGCTCCAATTAGATAACATATCATAAGCTAAAAAATCTCCAATGGTCTAAGCAATGCAATTCTAAGGAAAAAATTTTGTTTGGTTGAGTATCATATGTGAGAACATATTTTTCAATTCTCATAATAACTTCATATCATCAATTAATGGTTGCAAAAAATTATCATTTTTTTTTAGATTATGTGGTATAGGTATTATAAGTGTTAAGAACATGTACATGATAGTCATACATTTCTCTGATAGAAGGTTATATGGTGTTAGTATAATTGACCAATAAGAGTACGATGAAGCTGCATGGCTGTATGGAGTAAAATCATCATCACATAATCCCAATCTTATCTTATGTGGCTCAACAGCAAATGAAGCATGCATTCGATCAAAACATTTTCATGCTTTAACATCTAATGGATGAGAAAAAATACCACTGTATTTTAATTTCTCCTTATGCCACATCATGTGACATGCCGAACTCATTAATGCATAGAGCTACTTAAGTATTTGAATAAGCAGTAAATAAAATAAACGGTAATATAAAATATCTTTCTTTTGATGGTATTATTTTCTTGAGTTTGGTTTAAATTGAGGTGCATTGCAAGTGCGATAATAAACATTTATTGTATCATACTTGTAATATAATATACATCCATTTATACAACAATCAATTATCGTAGCGGTGAGACCTAACTTGGATACTAATTTCTTTGTTCGATACAAATATGTGAGGATTAAATTATCTGTTGGTTTTGTTTCCTTAAGAAGATCAATGAAATCATTAAAACAATCACGAGACATATTATATTCAGTTTTGATACTTAGCATCCTTACATCAACTAATAGTTTTGAATGTATTTTGCAACTATTCTAAATTGGTTTTTAAGTAGGATATTATAATTCAAAGAATTTTTTAATTTTTGCGTTTGATGGCTCTTCAACACCATCCCTTAAATTAGGAGTTGCTACATCAAAAATAAGTCTTTCGTATGATCTACTCATTTAATCTTCATCAAATATTTCAAAAGTTATGGATGGACTAGCATGAGTATCTCTGTGTGGCTCGTACTTGCCATGTGAGATTCAAATCTAGTTGTCTAGAATATATATCCTATGATATAAATGAACATTTACATCATCTAGCTTAAGGAATGCTTAATTTTTATGCTTCAAATATGAACATCTAAACAATACATTGAACTTAAACGAAGATAGTTGAGATGCAACTTGAATAAAAGCTTCAACTCCCTACATAAATTCTATATGTCAATCATCTTCGACCCGGTAACAATATGTTATACATCAAATATATCTCTTATTGGATAGTCATTTGGATGTGAAAGCAAAAGTTCCTTACATAGTTGTGAAATGAATTATTAGAAAATATGTAGCTTAAATCTAATTTAAATCTAATAAAGAAATATCATTTTTGATTTTTTTAAGTCAAGTCTTCTTAGATATGTCTCTACCTTTCTTAATATAAGTAAAATCTTATACCTATACTTTCTTAACCGAGTCATCGAAAGACCATCATTTTAAGTGACCAAACCATCTAAGATGACTTGTCGTTGCAAAACTTAACTTAGTATTATGCTTCTCTTTTAATAAAGCATTGCAGGTCTCACTACCTCCATATAGATCCCTTAAGTTTGAGGGGGACTTTTCTATAACACAACAATCCTGATGCATTCCTCCACTTCAACCATCCAACTTGATTTCTGTTGATAATATCCATATATATTTTACCTTCACTCTGAACAAGATATTCAATATATAGAAAACATGTACTCTTATTAATGACTTTATCGCTCAAATTCACAATCCCCTCACTAAGTGTATTACTACTAAAATTACACTATATATATTCATGTTTTAAAATAACTCAAGCGAGAACCTTTACATTCTAAGTTAGACATCCATAATTCAAGTTTACCTTCAACTCACTCTCTAGTCTTATCAACAAGAATAATATCAACAAAAAAAGGTATAACCTCTTGCAAATGTCTAGTGAGAAATAATAATATTATACAAGTCATGCATTAGAAGAAAAAGTGCAAAATTTAGGCAACTGTCCATAGATAACTACATAGTACTTAGCTTGCATCTTAATGATATCTAGTGGGAAGAAGTTGATAGATTTAGTGAGGGAAATAGTGATCATGAGGCATATGATAAACAAATTATAAGTTCAAGTGATACTAAATCGACTAATGATATGTCTTCCATTAATATGTTATTCATTTCTATGTTCTAAGTTATTTCCTTTGTTAATATTTTCATATAGCATATGGGGCAAGCCTCCACATAGGTCAATCATCTATTTTTTTATTGGCGAAACAAGATGACTATTGGCCCATCTTATTTGATATATATTGAGCAATAGTCCATATCATAACCTATAGTCACCATCTAGACTACACTATATGCTCCTAGTCCAATCAGGCACAACCCATATTTTCTCCTCGCTAGATCTTGCATAGATCCATGACATCCACCATCAACATCTCAACCAAGCCCTTCCACATACTACAACCCAATATACTCATAGACTATCCATCACCCCCTTCACTATAGCCTCATTATGCTAGACCTTCTACAAGTGCAAAGCAGAGATGTGATGGTGGTTCAAAGGGTTTGTAAGGCTTGTAAGGCCGAATCTATGTTGAGCTTGATAATGTCATAAACATATGAATTTCAAGTTATTTTCCTTGTCTCAACATTTAACTTTTTTTAATATGAAATAAAATTTTAACTTTATAAGTTCTACCCATTTGAACAACCCACTCATAGGATTAGAAATATCACGAGTAAGTTTGATGATCTTATGTATCATGAAAAAAAAAAACCAATTGAAGTTTGTGACATATGGTTTTGCAAACTTGAGGCAATGTAAGGACATCATATAATTTGAGGTTTAATTAATTCAGCTTATGTTGTTATCATAACTTATTTTCTGTCACACAAAAAATATTTTAGACGTCTCTCTCAAAATAATTATAAAATCAGGAAAAGTTTTGAGAAACAGGGATCAATCCGCTTATGAGACATATTAACCAATGTTTACAATTTGAGCGCGCAAGCTCCATGGATAAGTGAGAGTGTTTAAGCTAATTTGTGCATAGCTTGGGGCAGCCATGATTATGCCAAGAATAGGGAGTAGAATGAACAGGGTCATGCTTTTGACTATGAGGGCATTGGCAACTCCTAGTGGCTCGATTCTTCACACTGAGCATAAACACAATTTAGTATTTTTTTTAAATTATTTTTTAGATATTTCTAATTTAATACATAGAAGTTTGCACTTGTTGATATCAACTATGATTCCCAATTTTAATACTAATATTTATATTGAATTTTTTAACCTTTAATCTCATCTCTTAAGAGAACAATGATTGAACATATAAAAGATCGCTTTAAAACTGTTCATATTTTATGAGACTCTCCTATTTTTTACTATAAAATATGTTCTACATAACAAAACCCTTTTCAATTATGAGAAAGGACAATTTCAATCATGCCACTTTATTTTTTATCATTTCAAAATATTCATATAAAAATTTTAAGTATCTCCTATTTTTTTTTTTAATTTATATAACTTGAATTTGTATCTAAAATTGATATACTAAATATTTTCTTTCTAATCTCATGAATATTCTAGCTATTATTAGTGAATACCCAAACAAATAAAAATCATGAACATTTGTTGTCCATTTTTGGCAACATAAATTAGGTGGGCAAATTGACCTGGCCAATCGGACTAGCGCCAAGAATATAAAAACAAGTAAATTTATTTATAGGGATAAGGAAATTAATTACCAGCGATTCTCGCCCTATTTCTCTCTCTTCCCGGTAGTCTTCATCTCTAGAAGCCATGAACGCGAACCAGTCGCGGCTTGGGTTTTTTCCATGAAAGACATCGAATCCGTAAGACCTCAAATCCCTCATCCTCTTCGCGTCCATTAGTTTTTTTTTTCATTTTTCACGTTATAGGCTGATTTCTCCAGGCCGCTGAAGAAACCCTAATCGATCCGTTCCTTGTAGAGGTCCTCCCGGCCCACAAAATATTCGAAGATTAGGGCTTTCTTAGATTGATAGGTTTTTTTACTCTACCCTGTTACTTCGGATTAGGGATTTCGTTATTCCAATTCCGCTCTGGTAGAAGTTACGGTATTGGAAGGAGATTAAGGCGCTGAACAATTCGCTTCCGATTGCTTCAATTGATTGAGTTCCGGATAATGTGTATACTCTGCGTGGTCCAGAGGTGGTCTCGGCGGGTCGCGACCATGCTACCGTGGCTTGTGATCCCGCTTATCATTCTCTGGGCTCTCTCTCAGTTGCTCCCTCCCCCCCTCCGCTTCGAGATCACCTCACCTCGCCTTGCCTGCGTTCTCGTTCTTCTCGCCACTCTTTTCTGGTACGAGATTCTCATGCCCCACCTCTCCAGTTGGAGGGCTCGTCGTGCTGCCCGCCTCCGTGAGCGCCGCCGCACAGAGGCCCTAGAGCTCCAGAAACTTCGTAAGACTGCTACTCGTCGTTGCCGGAATTGCCACATGCCTTACCGTGACCAGAACCCTGGTGGTGGTCGGTTCATGTGCTCTTACTGTGGTCACATCTCCAAAAGGCCGGAGCTTGACCTGCCAGATCAGATGGAAAGTCCTGGTATCATTGCTGATGTTGTTGGGAAGAATGGCTGGTTGTGTTATGCTGATGGGAATGGTAATTGGGCGGGCTCTGATCCGAAGTACTGGAATGGCACTGATCGGAGCTGTTCCATGGACAGATCTTGTTTTGGTTTGATTTTTTTTGCCTGCAAGCTACTTTCATGTTTTTTCTCGAGTGTGAGGTGGCTTCATGGCAAAATTTTCAGATTTGGTACTTCAAGGGAAGATGGATCTTCTGATTTAGATCATAGAGGGTTGCCAGGGAAAGGGGAGAATTGTGTAAATTTCCATGAGAGTAGAGGGGAGAAGGCTAGAAGGAAAGCGGAGGAGAAGAGGCAGGCTCGGTTGGAGAAAGAAATGCTAGAGGAGGAAGAGAGGAAGCAGAGGGAAGAAGTTGCAAGGCTGGTAGAGGAGAGGAGAAGACAGCGGGATGAAATGTTGGCTGCTGAGAAAGAGCGGTCGAAGGGCTTAGCTGTTGATGGGGGCAGAGATGGAAAGAAGGAAATGGATAGGAGGAGGAAGGACAGAAGGAAAGACAAGGATAAAGCATCTAGCAAGAGCAATTCTGATGTTGAAGAGCATGAGAAGAGGGCAAGTAGGGAAAACGAAAGGAAACGGGAGTTTGAGAAGAAGGTTGAGAATGAATTGAGAGATTTTCAGAAGGGTGCCACGGATAATTACAAATCACATGCCTTAGAAGGTGTTCATGGAAATAAGGTTGCTGTGAATAATTCTAGGTATTTTGATCGCATGAAAGGCTCTTTTTTATATTCTTCTAGAGGTTTTGCTGGTCCCTTCTTTGGAAGAAACATGCAGAACTCCCCCGCTGTTACCAAGATAACTAAGCCCGCCACAGGAATTATTGATCATGGTCAAAATTCAGGAAACAGAAGAGATACTCATCCTCTAGTGCATGTGGCTGGTAAATCATCTTCTAGTGCAGGTGATAAGGCTTCTGAGACAAACTTAAGTCGAATTGTGAGTTGTTATTCATGCAATTATCCTTGCTCATGTATCATGTATATGTTAGTATTCTTGATTAAACATTAATATGATATTTATCTGTATGTTTTGCATTGTTGTCCTTACTTTTCCCAGGGAACTACAAATGTTCAACCAAAAACAACCGTTATAAAAAAATCATGGCAGCAATTGTTTACTCGTTCTTCAGCAGTTTCTCCATATCCTGATGCAAAGTCTACAGGTCAGGTGAATCCAACTGGACAATTAGCAGATCGAGGTGATCTTTCATCCAAGAAAGACTTACTTCAAAGTTACTCTACTACTGATAACCTAGTTGATTATGGGAAATCATTGCCTTTCACAGCATTCCCTCCTGCAAGCATTTCTTTTCCAAACAATCCAATTTTTCCTATTGTGCCCGATACAACATTCCCTCCTCTTGAAGAGCCACCGCGAAGTTCATTGTCAGAAGATGCAGAATTATTTGAGGATCCATGCTATGATCCAGATCCCATCTCATTGTTGGGGCCTGTATCAGAGTCACTTGACAAATTTCCATCGTACTTAGAGACTGGATTTACTACAAGGAACAAGACTGAAGGATCTTCATATTTGAAGAATGTTTTGACTTCTGCAGATGTGAATAAGCCTTCCCCTATTGAGCCTCCCTTGTCCAAAGTAAATTTTCCAGAAGGAAAGCATTCCGCATCTGATCAATTGTTTTGCTCTCCTAATTCAGATCTATCCAGCAATATACTGGAACAAAGTACATGGAAAATGTGGGGCAGTCCATTGCCTCAGGAAGGGATGGGTTTGATAGGTCGTCCCAATGGTTGGTTTTCACCCCTCATGCAAAACAATTCCCAACAGCAAGATTTCTTGCATTCTCTGTCCCACAGGCCTATAGAACCACCCATCTCAAAGAGTAACAATAAGCTAATGGGAATATCTAATCAGTATGCTCATAATGGTAACCATGAACATAATTGTGGGACATATAGTCCACTTGGTCCTAGTTTTAATGATAATGGCATATGGCAGCAGAACTTCTTCCAGGCTCCATCACCAATGGCTGTTAATGATCATTTACTACCTATTGATCTCATGGTTAAAATATCTCAGGGTGAAGCTAACTATAGTACTCCAATAAAATCAACTACTGGGCATCCTTTTGAAACAAACCCAATTACTAGTTGGCCCAAGTAAGTATCTTTGTTTCTTCCTAGAAAATTTCCTTTCTGATGTATAATTCTCTACATACAAGAAAACTGAAAAGAATTGGCTTCAGTGCGCCTATTTTATACACTTGGTTGATTTGCAAATGAATACTCTTGAATTTTTATATTTGTGTACATTCCAACATGTCTGAGTTGCTTAAAATTTTTCTTGTTATTTTTCTTTTTCATTAACTGTTTTGGTTAGTTAGCAGATGTTCTTGTGCATGTTATAGTACATTTCACTATTAAAATCATGATTTGTATTTTTATACTCGGTAATTTTGTATCACTTAGCTTGGGTCATCAGGGTCACCATGCATAGTAAGGATTCGTTTTGTTAGGAATAATTGTTTATGAATTTTGTGTAGCATGATTTCCTTGTGAACCTCTCACTGTCTTGTTGAATGACTTTGTAATTTATATGAAAAATTGGAATCTAATAGTGCTTATTTTTCTGAATTTTATTTAAACAAATAATTTTCTGATTTTTTTAATGCAGGTAAATTCACTTATGTAAATATTTGTTTGTCAAATAATTGAATTTCACTAGTGTTTTCAAAACAAGAAGTGAAGCATACCTGTTGTCAAATAAAATGATCACGGGTTATTTATATTTTCTGCATATGTATCGTATTCACTTCATGATAATATTTGGTAAAAAATTTCAGTTAAAATTGAAGAAAAATGATGTAGTGTTTGCCTAATTTGATGACCACATTCAGATGTTTTCATCACCAAAAAATTCCTTTCTTATTTCCTTGTTTTTCTCCATTCATCCACTCACAATTTGTATAAATGCAAATCCAGACTAATTGGGTTCAATAATTTCTCTCAAGTGAAATATTTCTTTTTTTTTTCAAAGCTTGATTGTACTTAATGAGCACTAGGTTGCTAAGACTCTCTTTCCCAACACGTCTCATCTTCTTTGTGAATCTAAATAGGTGTCCACAAAGTTTAAATGGGTTGCCTAAAGTCAAATCATTATATTGCAATTCATATTTAAAAGAACAACTTCTTCAAGTTTTGCTCATAGTTTGAGATTCTAAGAGTAAAGCTGAATACCTTGATTTCAAACTTTTGCGAAGTTGGAGTTGATACAACATATACCCATCACTCAACCATGCAATTTCTTACAATTTCCAATTTAGCATAAATGATAATTAATTGTTATAATTTTTATGATATAAAAGAGTCATTCCTGAAGATTTCTATTTCATATGGCACTTATATTCAAATAGGCCTCTAACAAGATTGTTCATAGATAATTACTTATCCAGTGCAATCCTCTCATTAGAATCTATCTCCAACCTTCCAGTTGCTGTGTATAGCTCATTCATTAATTGAGAATTTGATTGCATTTTTATTTTATTCTTCTGTAGAAAATTCCTTATTTAAGTTAGTAGTTAGCTTGATGTATCTCTAGACTGCAGTTATCGTCAATAAATACACAATTCATGCTGACTTCTTCTCCAAGGAATCCACTAATGCAATTTGCTGCAGTTGATGTTCAATATAAGTGAGCCTTTTTCTTATTAATTTGGCACAAAATTTTCAAAATATTCAATTAAATAAATAAGATAAAATTACTAACAAAATACAAATTGGTCAATTCATAATTAGAGTGGTTATTAGAGACACTTACACAAAATTCTCTTCTTCAATCTTCTAGTGGAGGCACTTGTAGCTCAGAAGATGGAGGCTTTTATCTCGGTCCAAATTAACAAACAAATATAATAATATGCTTAAATTTTAGGGACTTTGTTGCATTAACTGAGATACTCACTTAGCGGAACCACTTAGCAATGTATTATATGGCTTCATCCATTATTCTTTTGTAAAAGTTCTATTAACTTCATTTTACCTCAAATTCTTCCTCTTTCACACTTCTTCTAGGATCATGATGCACTCCATGAACCGGTTTTATACCAACATGAATAGTCTTATGAACATCTGCTTCTCTTACACCATTCATTACACCTTTTTAATATTCATGTTCCATGCACAAACTATACTTCAATTCTTGCACATCTTCTTGGTTTTTTAACTATACCTCCAAAGTAGCCTTCTTAGACTTGGTAACTTTACTCCCTTTGGACACTCCAACTAGACTAATATGATGCTCATTTGCTTTAGATATGCCCTATTAGTTTTTTTTTTTGGCTGTGATACATGCATGTATCAAAGAGTATTTAAACCAAAAGTTAACTCATCATGCTTCCAACAAGGTTTGAAATTGCATAATTAGGTATCGAGGCTCTACCCTAATTTGAGACTTTTGGCTTATAAATTAAAAGAGCCTAACATCATCTATTTGAGGCATACACCTCATTAAAAAAGCATTGAGTGCTTCACTCAATGAGGTGTGCATTTCAACTACCTATATATTATTCAGTGTTCAACATACATATCTTTAATAATCAATAATATTTTTTATGCACATTTGTCATTGTTCATCACACACGATTAATTGTTGTAATCAATCTTACGGGTTCTCATGGTCCATAAAGTCATATTAATATTCATTCTTTGTTATATATATTAATCTTTACAGTAAAGTCACTTTCATAGTAGATATTCTTGGCATAAAACTAAATTAATTATTTTGAAGTTCCACTTTTTTTGAAGTCCTTGTTGTGTACTTTTCTATAGCTTCATTTAATAACTAATAAATTTGATTGCTCTATAATTAATATACTTTTGAACATCTTTTTTTATTATGAATCTATGATGATACTGAATACTTCTTAATCATTTGACATTCTCTTTACAACAACAACAACAACAACAAGCCTTTATCCCACTACGTGGGGTCGGCTACATGAATCCTTTTTCTCCATTGTGTCCTATTAAAGGTCAAATTCTCATTTAAATATAATAAAGAAAGGTCATTCCTAATATATTTTAACCAAGTCTTTTTAGGTTTGCCTATACCTTTCTTAACATAAGTCAAATCTAGTACCTCTACTCTCCTAACCGGGTCATTGGAAGGCCGCCGTTTTATGTGACCAACCCATCTAAGACGACTCTCTCTAATCTTATCTTCTACTGGAGCTACTCCAACCTTTTCATGTATATGCTCATTTCGTATCCTATCTCTAAGGGTAAATCCACTCATCCACCTGATCATCCTCATCTCTGCCACACTTAACTTAGTATTATGCTTCTCTTTTAATGGCCAGCATTCAACACCATAAACCATTGTAGACCTCACTTCCATCTTATAGAATTTTCCCTTAAGTTTGAGGGTTACTTTTCTATCACACAACAAGCCCGATGCATTCCTCCACTTCAACCATCCAACTTGAATTCTGCTGATAATATCCCCATCTATTTCACCATCACTCTGAACAATAGATCCAAGATATCTAAAACGTGTACTCTTTAATGACTTAATCACCCAAAGTCACAATCCCCTCACTAGGCCTATTACTACTAAAATTACGCTACATATATTCCGTTTTAGATCTACTCAAGCGAAAACCTTTAGTCTGTAATGTTGACCAACATAATTCAAGTATACTTTTAACTCTCTCTCTAGTCTTATCAACAAGAAGTACACCGCAACCTATGCTCCATAACTCGCTCTCATAGTTTTAAAGTATGACACATTAACTTAATTCCTCTATAATTCATACAATCTTGTGGACACCTTTATTCTTAAAAATAGGAATTAACACACTCATTCTCCACTCATCTGATATCTTTTTAATCTTCAAAATAGTATTAAGAAGTTTAGTAAGCCAAGAAATTCCTTCATCTCCTAAGCATTTCCACACCTCTATTGGAAAATTATCAAGTCCAACAACTTTTCCACCCTTTATTTTCTTTAAAGCATTTCTAAATTCGATTTTACTAATACGCCGATAAAAATAGAAATCTTTATTTTCATTTAGGGTGCTAAGGTCACTATAATCAATCTTATTTTCACAATTTTCATTAAAAAGTTTAGCAAAATATCTCATCCACCTTTGTTGAATATCATCTTCTAAGAAAAATATTTTTTGATCTTCATCCTTAATACACTTCACTTGAACTAAATCCTTACTACTCCTATCTCTTTGTTTGTCTAACTTATACATATATCTTTCTCCCTCGTTAGTATCTAATCTATTATATAAATCACTTAAAGCTAAGGTCTTTACATCGCATATTGCTTTCTTAGATTCCTTACGAGCCTCTTTATATCTTTTCCAATTATATTGTCTTCAAAAATTTATTGAAAAGATTTGTTACTCAAATTATTTTAGTGTCCTATGCAACTTCTCAAATCTCATTAGCTATCTCATTTGGTTTTAAAGTTTTGCCTAACATCAGAGCTAACTCCACTTTACTTTAGTGAGTCAATATTTATTTTCTTACTATTATGGTCATTATGCTATTACAGAAGACTTCTTCCTTAATACACCAATTTTATGATTTCTTAATATAATTTATCATCATGTTTTGACATCTTCATCTTTAAATAAGATATGTCATCTTTGTTTGCAATGAATCTAGCTTATTAAACTTCATAGATCGTTTCTCTGTTGCCTAGCGGTATTGTTTATCTTCTTTTCTTGTTTATTAATGTCACATCTTTTTTATAGATCATTAAAGGTTATAGCTTTTGTCTTGATTGCTATATTTTTTTCAAGATTTATGATTTTATAATCATTATAAGTTTCTATAGTACTTTAATTTTATCACTCTTTTAAATCATAATTTTCTTAATAAATATTTTTACTTTCTTAATTTGTCATCAAGTCATCTTGATATTCTATGATTTATTTTTAGAATTTCCTTAAACTTGAATAATCTTTTTAATAGTTCTAGTCATCTTACATCACATCAGGTTTTGCTCAACTAAATAATTCCAAAATTTCTCTTTTAAACTTAACAATCTATCTTAAAAGTTTACAATTTCTTACCTTTTGAATTCCATCACCTTATCCTAGGATAATTATTTATTTTGATTACTTTCTTTATACTCTAAAGATATCAATCAG